AGCCGAAGTGGGGCTTGATGCGGAGGAAGGCCTCGCACACGACGATAAACGCCGAGATGTTGAGGATGAAGTTTGGGGCCAGATCGTGGAAATCCAGGCCATAATAAAACATGAGCCCCCGGACGAAGGGATGGAGAGGGAATCCTAGTCCGCGGAGGAAATGGGTGAGGAATACCACCCGCTCATGGGGCTCGGGGGTGGGGATGAGTTGTCCCTCATCTGGGAGCCGGTGCGCGATGTCGTCATGCAGGTATCCGGCTCTCCTCAGTTTCTTGACGTCTCCCTCCGTGACGGAGGAGACCATCCACTTGCCTCCCGCTCTGGACATGGTTGGAGAAGGTTGAGGTGGAAGTGAGAGCTTGGGCGCTAGAGCTCGAGTATGCGGGAGCGGATGAGCAGAGGAGGAGGAAGGCGTGGATAGAAAGGTGAATCCTTATCCCTTTATATGGGCGGACAAAATTAAACGTCCCCACTTGCCTAGTAAAACTCGCTTATCCCCCAAGCGCCGTAATTGATGGCGCGGTTGGGTTACCCATGCTTGTATTGATGAGAATGCCGTAATAAGGGGACACGATCTCTACATTGACAAGACATGTCGAAAAACTGCCTCGCGTTATGTGCGGGGCTGGTTAAATGAAACGGTTCGAATAATCACCGGGCCATGACATGATGTCATGTTACCAAAACAAGCTAGCGGATTAGATCTGCGAAGACATTATTCTCTCTACGGTGAAATGTGGAACTTATTTTGCAGGGTTGGACACTATCCTCGTATTCAAATTGTTCTGTGATGTATTCGGATAAGGAACCCGCCTTGTAATTCCGAAGACAACTGCGCGTCAGACTCATCGTCATTGAAGCCCGGTTCAGGGGCTACTGTGGGAGTCCTGGATTAGGGGGTCTTCGGACAGCCGGACTATCTCCATTGGCCGGACTGTTAGACTATGAAGATACAAGATTGAAGACTTCGTCTCGTGTCCGGATGGGACTCTACTTGGCATGGAAGGCAAGCTAGGAAATACGTATATGGATATCTCTTCCTTTGTAACCGACCTTGTGTAACCCTAACCCTCTCCGGTGTCTATATAAACCGAAGGGTTTTAGTCCGTAGGACAACAATCACAACATACAATCATACCATAGGCTAGCTTCTAGGGTTTAGCCTCTCTGATCTCGTGGTAGATCTACTCTTGTAACACCCATATCATCAATATCAATCAAGCAGGACGTAGGGTTTTACCTCCATCAAGAGGGCCCGAACCTGGGTAAAACTTCGTGTCCCTTGCCTCCTGTTACCATCCGGCCTAGACGCACAGTTCGGGACCCCCTACCCGAGATCCGCCGGTTTTGACACCGACGGTCCTTAAAAAAGAGACAAGGCTCTGATACCAATTGAAAGGATCGATATGGTTGACTAGAGGGGGGGTGAATAGGCAACTAACAATTTTTAGCCTTTCTTTACCAAATTAAACTTTGCATCAAAGTAGGTTGTCTAGATGTGCAACTAGTTGAGCAACCTATATGATGCAATAACAATAAACAAACAAGCAAGCACGAGAAGTAACACTAAAGAGCTTGCACAAGTAAAGGTAGGAAATAACCAAGAGTGGATCCGGTGAAGATGAGGATGTGTTACCGAAGTTCCTTCCTTTTGAGGGGAAGTACGTCTCCGTTAGAGCGGTGTGGAGGCACAATGCTCCCCAAGAAGCCACTAGGGCCACCGTATTCTCCTCACGCCCTCACACAATGCGAGATGCCGTGATTCCACTATTGGTGCCCTTGAAAGCGGCGACCGGACCTTTACAAACAAGGTTGGGGCAATCTCCACAACTTAGTCGGAGGCTCCCAACAATACCACGAAGCTTCACCACAATGGACTATGGCTCCGTGGTGACCTCAACCGTCTAGGGTGCTCAAGCACCCAAGAGTAACAAGATCCGCTAGGGATGAGTGGGGGAATCGAAAATCCCTTGGTGGAAGTGTAGATCGGGGCCTTCTCAACCACTCCCGAGCAAATCAACAAGTTTGATTGGCTAGAGAGATAGATCGGGCGAAAATGGAGCTTGGAGCATTAATGGAGCTTGAGAGGGAAGAGGTAGGTCAACGGGGAAGAAGGGGACCCCCTTTTATAGTGGGGGCAACAATCCAACCGTTGCCCCACCAACCAGCCCCGCACAGGGCGGTAGTACCGCTAGGGGGGCGGTACTACCGTTGAGCCAGCGGTACTGCCGCTCCAGCTAGCGGTACTACCGCACAAAGGAGAGCAGCAGGGACCTGGACCCAGAGCGGTACTACCGCGGTGGTAAGGGCGGTACTACCGCTGCGAAACGGTACTACCGCCTCTACTGCCGCAACTAGTGCCGCAAAACCCGACACGAGAAAAAAGAGCCCTCGAGTCGAGGCGGTAGGAGCCAGACAGACCAGCGGTAGTACAACTGCGGAGTCACTGGCGGTACTACCACTGCGGAGCGGTACTGCCGCTTGTGACCCCTCAGCGGTACTACCGCTGGGTAGTGCGTTACTATCGTTGGGACTCAGACAAGAGAGAGAGAAGATCTCTCCGTCGAGGCTGAGGTCGAGGCGGTAGTGCCAGGCAGGCCAGCGGTAGTACTGCTGTGGAGTCACCGGCGGTACTACCGCTGCGGAGCGGTACTGCCGCTTGTGACCCCTCAACGGTACTACCGCTGGGTTGCACGGTACTATCGCTGGGACCCAGACAAGACACAAGAGAGAAGAGATCTCTCCAACGAAGCGGAAGAGCTCTCAGGGTGAGAAGCGGATGTGTACGTGTTGATTCCACCCAAGCAATACCCCAGCGGACCCCCTCTTGATAGTACAGTGCCCTCTACGCAACTAGTCCACCGAAAGAGAAACGAAAGAGCTACACCGTCTTGAATGACACTCCGAGGGGAAGAAATCGTCTCGTGCCAAGGATGAGTCTCTGAAATACTCAAAGGACACGATTAGTCCGCAAACATGTTGTCATCAATCACCAAAACCATATCGAGAGAGATATGCCTCAACAACAACCGAGCCAGAGCGATCGACATTCAAAGCTTTTTCTACAATTTCATCCAGTCCAAGAGCACTGCAGACTTGGGCTGCACATGGCCAGGTAAAATAGCATATGCTTAATATCCTCGAGACCTGACTGACATACTGGACAAACCGGCGAGACCTTGATGTGTCTATCAGCTACAGCTAGAATGGCCATTCCCAGGATTAGGCCATGAAGTGCCCTCCAAATGAAAATGTAGTGACATGGTGCGGGACAGGAGGAAGGAGGGAAAGGATAACCTTGTAGCCTTAGGGTCAATTCTTTTGATGGCTTTTTGGGCTTCTAGAATGCTTATTCTAGAAGCCCAGCCTAATTTTTTTAAAAGTGTATTAGTCAAGTTTTAATTAATAGGCTTCTAAAAAAATAATTTGGTTGGGCTTTTAGAATAAGTTGGATAGGGGGTAATTTATTCCAACTTATTCTAGAATACATCAAAAGAACTGGCCCTTACCGTCACCGTTTACTACGTGTTGCTCAGCTTGGACAGTAACTCAACATCGGATGGCTATTATACATTGAGATATACAACATATAAATGGCTACAACAATTTTGATGATGTGGCTCATTATGAGAGCAGGAAAATAACAATTAATTGTTGCTAGTGGGGTTGTCTATATAAAATATATACTCCACATGTTACTAAATAAAAGCCTTTTTAGATATTTCAGTACGGGCTACACCCAGATGTATATAGACATATTTTAGAGTGCAGATTCACTCATTTAGCTCCGGAATGGAGGGACTACTCTCTCCGCGCAGAATTAGTTGTCTAGATTTGTGTAGATACAGATGTATCTAAGCACATTTTAATGTTAGATACATCCGTATCTAAACAAATCTAAGACAACTAATTTGAGACAGAGGTAATATATGTTTAGAAATTTCATCCGTATATGAATCCAATGATGGACGTGATGTATTTGATTTGAGCTCGGGTGAACAGTAATCCAAAACGCAATTTTAAAACAATTCAAAAAAATCTGAATTTTTTTGGGTGCAAACATTGACAAAGTTCTCAATGCTCACAAAAATTCATCACAAAATAACATTTGTGGAAGTCGCAGCAAAAAAACAAAATTGATGCTTCAAAAATGTTAGTTCCAAAAACATTTTGGAGTACTGTTTTTTTTTTTGCTACGAATTGTACGAATGTCATTTTTTGATGAAATTTTGCAAGCACTGAGAATTTTTGTCAATGTTTCCACCAAAAAAAATTCAGAATTTTTTGAAATGTTTTTTTTCAATTTTACTGTTCATCCAGAGCTCAAAATGAGCTTGGGAGCATAACATGACTTTCGTCCAATTGATGTGCTTTTGTGACATATAACAATATTTAGTTTGTCAAATATATAACCTAGAAAATGCAGACGCCCTATGCATTCTTCCAGAGTGAGTACACGAAAGGATATGGAATCTGAAATCTCATCAAGAGGCGGCAACAATGACATCCAATCACCAAACAGTGTGACAAACGATCTGGTGTTCTCAATGGCGAAACTTAATTTGATGTTTCATAACTCATTCGCAAAAATGATATGTAACAGGTCTATTGTTTCACATTGTATACACGAACAATTCCACAACCTGTCAGGATGCTAGTGCTTGTAATCATCACCATCCAAGCTTTTACGAGTACAAAAAGGTACTCCCTCCATTCCTAAATATATGTCATTTTTAGAGATTCCAATATAGACTACATACGGAGCAAGGAGCAAAATGAGTGAAAATACACTCTAAAATATGTCTATATACATCCGTATTAGTCCCTAGGGAAATCTCTAAAACTACGTACTTATATTTAGAAACAGAGGTAGTAATAGCTAAACTAGGGAGCATTGTTTTTGAAAAAAGAAACGAAAAAAAAGGTGATCCCTACTCTGTTCTTAGGATCTTAAGATGCACAGCTAGAACTATAATCATATTACAGCAGAAGAGTACAACTCAATCCAGTATATCCCCCCGCAGCTCCCACAATTTGACTGTGCCATCATCGCTCGCGGATGCCAACACCCTTGGGTCCTACGAGTTTATTTGACAAGAATTAGGCACTTCTAAATAAAGTAAAAGATACCTGAACCATTATAGATATTGATAGTTCTCATAAACCACGGCAAAACAAATGAAGCCCATTACCAGCTTAACACGTTGAGACTATTTTGTTGCTAATTTTCTGAGATTACCTGAGGACACCATCTGACACAATTTACATCCATGTCATGTGCCTTCTCTTTCTTCAGTATTAATCTGTAGGAAGGCCCCTCAACCTGCACTGTCCAAAGTAGCTGTTAATACTTAAATCAAAGGGTGGTCACTGCATTTAGAAAAAATATGAACAAATACTCAAGCATTTATTTATTCCTAGACAAGTATGACCACTACTAAAGTATGCACTACATGTTGGAACATCACACTCCACTATCTACCTACTACCGCAAATGTAACTTGGACAAAATGGTCAGCTAAGCAGATCCCATAGAGATGAATCGAGAGTCGTGAGAATTTGAATGTTCAGCGGAAGGATAAGATACCATACTATTCTCCTCGGCAAATAAGCAGATAGCATCATCACTTGCCCCACTGGCAATTACATCCTCGCTGCATGCACAGAGGAGCATGAAAAATGTCAAAGAATAGTACTCCATATCGACTTATGTAAATATACTTCAGAAGATTAGAATGGCCAATAATATCTTCACTTATTCAGAATGACAGCAGAATTTGCCAAATCTAGGAGATCAAATTTGTTCAACATAAATATACGACAATTGTATTCTGAAAACATATACTTAGTCATCTAAACGATCTTATATTTCTTTACAGAGGGAGTACATAAATAGTCAGTCATATCTTTCGTAAACATGTAGAACTGACAGTTAAGGACTTTGATTAGCTTTTTCTGCAGGATTCTGGCCATCAGCTCAACAGGAATATTGATTTGTATAATTAAGTTAACTTGCACAAAGTATAATGAGCCTCCTTTTTGCAGGCATATAGTGCTCTCAACAAGTCATCAGAAACTATTTTTATAAAAATTATATTTTTGATTGAATTCATAAAAATGCTTGTGTTCTAGCTGTAAAGAGTAACTTTGCCAGCTCCTGCGGAATGAAATTCAGAAGCAGTAAATATGTATCAGGGATTGGAGTTCAGCTAACCTTGACCAATGGGCTGAAAAAATAGTTCGACCATGATATCCAGATAGAGTAGAAATATGATGCCTGAAATTAAATGATAATCATCCTATTAAATGGGTGGTGTGGAAAGGCAACATAATTTTGATAAGCTTCACTGCAGTGATGTGATAACAATATCAGCAGAACTAGAACAGTCACCAACACTAAAGTCTACTCATAGTCCATATGCATGGAAAGGGCCAAGTTGTGCTATATATATTTGCACTCCGGTGAAAGCGAATTAAAATTTTACTTAATGTAAGCATTGATATTTGATCTTAATAGCAACAAAGACGAGTACATCTAACTTAGAAAAGTTCTCCGACAAATAAAATGCACAATGGTATACTCCACCAAACAACCATTACTTTGTGAAGAACAGGCAGATCATCAATTATTAGTTTGCACCTGTCCCAGGGAGTAAAGTGGCGGATAATATAAAATTACAGAGATATGCCAGACTATAACAATAGATATAGCACAATAACACTAATATGCTTGATTCATCTCTGGCGTAATCTAAATTTCAGGGTGGGGACTAAACATGAACTACCACATAGCTTGTCTTTTGCAGCCATATCTTTTAGGCACAGCTGTGTAATTTCAGTGTTATCAACCTTGTACGACAAATATGAGTCAAAAAGAGGTATCAAGAAGAAAACTCTTACCAAGATTCATGACCTTCTCCAGTTGTTGGTTGCGACAAATCAATACTTGTATCCCAAATTTTCAAAGTACAGTCATCACTGGATAACAAATGTATGACATTAGTAACTTTTCTAGGGCCTGTCTGGAGCACGGGAATTCAGCAGTGCTAGAGAATCTGAGAATATACCGCATTTCAAAAAGATCCTACAAAAAAATAGGGATATTAATCCAGCATGGTAGAGCCTAGAGCGAACCTGCATGTGACCATCCTATCTCCTTTCTGGTTAAAAGATATTGACCATACTGTTGAGGAATGACCACTGTGATCAAGAAAAAGGAGATCAACTTTACCAGGGCAAGATGCAATAATTAGTTAAGCTCTAACACCAGAAAGAATAATCAATATAAAACAATTAAAGTTAACAATCAAAAGTTCAGAAGGAAATAGATATGCTCAGCTATTTTTAAGATGAATAGCAGAAAGTTTATCATATCATCCAAACAAGATGGAACAGTATCAAGATAATCTTATAGTTAATAGCAACATAACACAAAGTCACAAACACATTACTATAATTGACATGCAATCCCACATTATGTTTTAGCAAAGTGGGAACTGTGAAAAAAAATACAAGTAAAACCCAATAATCAAGTGATATTTATACCAAAATAGAAGGACACCATGCGACACCATTGATCTTAACTGTTCATAAATCTCTCATCAACACCTCATGGTTTAAGTTGGATTCCTACAATTACCTCTAATACACATAGCTACAATCGTGCATACATCTACATGGCCGCTAGTAGAAAATAAATCTACAAGATCCAAACATATTAAAAGAGGGTATGGTCATGGGGCAGAAGTTTAGTCCAGATCATAAAATCAACAGCCATACGACTTCATGCATCACATCTTTTTCACAGTCATCAGCATCACATAAGTTGGGATTGATCTTCTAAAGAAACATAAGCTGGGATTTCGTCGACTGAATACATTTGTACGATATTACAATGTAAATAAGTCCAAACATATTATACCACAAGCAGTACAAGTTTTATCAACCAAATAAAGACAAAAAAGGTCTTGACCAAAGAGCCACATTACCTGTTACCGGCTTCAGTTAATGTCTGCACACAGGGCCACTTACCATCGCCGTCATCAGCCCACACCTACATTAAAGCTTGCATATTAATGATAATGACACTTAAAAAAACTGCATACCGAACAGAGCAAGAGCAAAGAGCACATCCTTGTTGCCTATCCAGTGTCCATAGTGTAAAACCACAAGGCATACAGCAACATAACGCAGGCCGAGCTAGTGCATTACTACAAATTAAATTGACAAAAGTTCATACCCTGATGGTATTGTCATAGCTGACAGAAACCAGAACATCAAAGAACGGGTGCCACTGGACCATCTTCACATCCTCAGTGTGCCCCTCCAGCACATCTACGCACTCGTGATCGTTCCCTGGCAGAATCTCCCATATCCACGCTGCCCTGTCCCGGCTGCACGTCGCGACCATCGAACCGGACTGGCTCCATGACACACTCTTCACCTCGTTCGCGTGCCCCTGCCCATTAACAGCACAGAGTTAACATCCACAGGTAACCAACATTCTCCACAACAAACAGTGGTGACACCGAAACTGAACCCAAAAGGCCAAATTCAGAAAAGGCTTCACCTCCAACGTGTCGACCAACTCAAAGTCTCCACCGGAGTACTCCCAAATCGCCGCCGTGCCATCGAAGCTCGCGTCCGCCAACAGCTTCCCGTCCGGGGACCAAGCGCAGGACCTCACCGTGCGTTCGTGCACGCCTTCGAGCACATCCTAATCAAGCAAGACGGGCGCAGATAAGGAAACCAATCACTGCAATTGCAATGCAACGCGGAACCATGGAACACGCTGAAGTAGATTGGCCTTACCGAGCAGTGCCAGGCGCCGTCGGGGGCGCGCTTCCAGATGCGCACTGTCTTGTCGGCGCCGCAGGAGGCTAGGACGGGGCCGGCGCCGGCGCCCGGGTTGGGGTTCCAGGCGAGTGCCCACGCGCGGTCGGCGTGGCCAACCAGGCGGTGGGTCTCGCGCACCTCCGCCGCGCCGCCGCCATCCATGGCCTGCTCGCCGGCGATCGCTGTGCCTAGGGTTCCGGGCGCGAGTCGCCGGTGAGGACTGAGGAGTGTACCGGGATGGCAAGGTGGAGCTGCGTAGGGGGGCCGAGGCGGCGTCGACCAGGGAGGAGTTTTTTTTTTCAGATTTTTTTAGGGGGTAAAGCCACTTTATTGATGATAATCCACAGAAGGTGGGATACGAACCGCATCATATGGCTGGCCAAGCCAAACATGACACCCCAGAGCTAAATTCGTAGCAAATTTTGCTAAGCTGTGAGCTTCTAGATTTATCACACGACTTTCAAAAAAAATTTACAGAAAAAAGGATCCGATCTCAGCTTGATTTCGTTGATGATTGCTCCATAAAGACCCTTGTTGGCCATCGAGATGTCTTCCACTACCTGCTTACAATCCGAGGATATGATGAATCTGTGAAGTTGGACATCTTGAGCCAAGGAAATAGCTTCATGACAAGTTAAAGCCTCCAGAGTCGCTGGGTTGCAAACACCTCTCACAACTAGAGCTGAACTTCCCAGATAATTGTCGTGACTATCCCTGCATATTGCTGCTGCCGATCCTCCTCTTTGCCCGCGTGCACCAGCATCCACGTGAATCTTTGCAAAATTCGCCGGAGGAGCCATTGGGCGGGGTCTAGCTGCAACGGTGGAACCTGCATGCACGTTGGCCGCCCTCTGGGTGGGAGACTTCCTTGACCGAACAACATCTAAGTCTTCAATGAAGCGAGTTATGAAGGCTTGTGTTGCATGTGGAGATTGAAATATAGCTTCGTGGATAGCTTTTCTCCTAGAAGACCAAATTGCCCAAAGAGTGACTGCTGTAAGAATGAACTGATCATGTGATAATGACTCTATTAGTGAGAAAAGCCAGCTTTTTGCGTTTGGTTCTGTGGCCAACACCAGCTTGCTTCCGAGATCCTCATCAATGAGAGCCCATGTACATCTTGAAACTGTGCACTCAAGAAGGGAGTGTCGCCATGAGTCCGGCGCACCACACATTCCGCATGAACTCGAGGTAGTCATGTGGCGATGAGCTCGAACATCCTCCGTGGGTAAAGATTGTTTTGAGAGTCTCCATAGGAACATACGTATTTTTGCTGGTACCTCTGTCCGCCAAAGCTTTTTCCACGATCCTTCCTCCATATGTGTACTCGAGGATCCGGTTGTGCCTTCCAACCACACCTCTCTTCGTTGCCTTATGGACACCAGCATTCGGTATGCCGATTTGACTGAAAACTGGCCATTTCTCTCATGCATCCAACCCCAAAAATCTTGCATATTCATAGTGCATAGCGGTATACTCATAATAACCTCCATATCAAAATGCAAAAAAATAGATTCCAGCTTCTCCTTGTTCCATGTGGCAGATGTCGGATCAATTAGTTCAGAGACAACTTGCGGTGGGTTTGCTACCCGGCATCCATAAGGCCTCATCATCTCCTCTCGGGGGAGCCAGTTGTCCTCCCAAATATTGGTGTGTTCACCATTACCTATGCATCAAATTAAACCTTGTTTCAACATGTCACGCCCTTCAACAATGGCCCTCCAAATCTGACTAGGGTGTTTTCCCAAAGTAGCCTGAAGTATGGTCGTGTTGGGATAGTAGATACTTTTTAGAATACGAGCACTCAAAGACTCCGGGTCTTGTAACAGGCGCCAGGCTTGTCGTGCCAGCATTGCTAAGTTGAAGAGCTCAAAATCTTTAAACCCCAAACCTCCCATTCCTTTTGGCTGCGTCATAGCTTTCCAAAAGACCCAATGAGGCTTGCGCTGTCCATTTTTACTCCCCCACCAGAATTTCCTTATCAGCATATTCAAATGTTCACACATGCCTCTAGGAAGCTTAAAACATGACATGGAATAGACTGGGATAGATTGTGCAACTGATTTCACCAAAACTTCCTTTCCAGTAGTTGACAATGTCCTCTCTATCCAGCCTTGAACCTTGCTCCACAACCGATCTTTAAGATATTTGAATGCACCATTTTTTGAGCTCCCCACATCTGATGGCATACCCAAATACTTCTCACTAAGAGTTTCATTAGGAACATTCAACAAAACTTTGATCTCGTTGCGGGCCGGGCCAATCAGGCCAGCCCACGAGCACGCCGGCATGGCCCATCATGGGCCAGGCACGGCACGGGCTAAACGGGTCGGGCCTGGCATGCGGCACGCCCTGGGTCGTGCTTGGCTTCTAGGCTGAGCACGCGGGCCGGCACGGAACGACTTGATTATCTTTATTTTTTTTATATACTCCCTCCCTCCATCTATATATAGGGCCTTAATGTGTTTTTAAATGCATTAGGCCCTATATAGATGAAAGGAGGGAGTATATGAAGGAAATATGCCCTAGAGGCAATAATAATGTTATTATTTTATTTCATGCTAGAATTGTCACTAATATATAGGGCCTTAATGTGTTTATTATTCATGCTAGAATTGTATTATCCAGAAACATAATACTTGTGTGAATACATAGACAAACTAAAAGTCACTAGTATGCCTCTACTTGACTAGCTCGTTAATCAAAGATGGTTATGTTTCCTAACCATAGACATGTGTTGTCATTTGATTAACGGGATCACATTATTAAGAGAATGATGTGATTGACATGACCCATTCCATTAGCTTAGCACCCGATCGTTTAGTATGTTGCTATTGCTTTCTTCATGACTTATACATGTTCCTATGACTATGAGATTATGCAACTCCCGTTTGCCGGAGGAACACTTTGTGTGCTACCAAGCGTCACAATATAACTGGATGATTATAAAGGAGCTCTACAGGTGTCTCCAAAGGTAAATGTTGGGTTGGCATATTTCGAGATTAGGATTTGTCACTCCGGTTGTTGGAGAGGTATCTCTGGGCCCTCTCGGTAATGCACATCACATAAGCCTTGCAAGCATTGCAACTAATAAGTTAGTTGCGAGATGATGTATTACGAAACAAGTAAAGAGACTTGCCGGTAACAAGATTGAACTAGGTATTGAGATACCGACGATCGAATCTCGTGCAAGTAACATACCGATGACAAAGGGAACAACGTATGTTGTTATGCGGTCTGACCGATAAAGATCTTCGAAGAATATGTGGGAGCCAATATGAGCATCCAGGTTCCGCTATTGGTTATTGACCGGAGACGTGTCTCGGTCATGTCTACATTGTTCTCGAACCCGTAGGGTCCGCACGCTTAAGGTTTCGATGACAGTTATATTATGAGTTTATGAGTTTTGATGTACCGAAGTTAGTTCGGAGTCCTGGATGTGATCACGGACATGACGAGGAGTCTCGAAATGGTCGAGACATAAAGATTGATATATTGGACGGCTATATTCGGACACCGGAAGTGTTCCGGGTGATTTCGGAGAAAACCGGAGTGCTGGAGGGTTACCGGAACCCCCCCGGGAGAAGTAGTGGGCCTTATGGGCCCTAGTGGAGAGAGAGAGGGGCAGCCAGGGTGGGCCGCGTGCCCCCTCCCCCTCTGGTCCGAATTGGACTAGGAGAGGGGGGCGGCGCCCCCCTTTCCTTCTCCCTCTCCCCCTTCCTTTCCCCCTCCTAGTAGGAGTAGGAAAGAGGGGGGTCCTACTCCTACTAGGAGGAGGACTCCTCCTCCTTGGCGCGTCCAAGGGCCGGCCGGCCTCCTCCCCTTGCTCCTTTATATACGGGGGCAGGGGGCACCCCTAGACACACAAGTTGATCCACGTGATCGTTTTCTTAGCCGTGTGCGGTTCCCCCTTCCACCATACTCCTCGATAATATTGTAGCGGTGCTTAGGCGAAGCCCTGCGACGGTAGAACATCAAGATCGTCACCACGTCATCGTGCTGACGGAACTCTTCCCCGACACTTTGCTGGATTGGAGTCCGGGGATCATCATCGAGCTGAACGTGTGCTAAAACTCGGAGGTGCCGTAGTTTCGGTGTTTGATCGGTCGAGCCGTGAAGACGACGTACAACTACATCAACCGCGTTGTCATAACGCTTCCGCTGTCGGTCTACGAGGGTACGTAGATCACACTCTCCCCTCTCGTTGCTATGCATCACCATGATCTTGCGTGTGCGTAGGATTTTTTTTAAAATTACTACGTTCCCCAACAGTATATCTATGTGGCCTAATACTAGCCCAATAGGAAAAAATAGGCTCAAAAAACGTCAAATAGGCCAACCAGCAGATGGGCCAGCGTGCCTGGCGTGCTGATGGGCCGGCAAGATTACCAGTTGGGCCGTGTCTGGATTGTAGGTTGCAGCACGCATGCCGGCATGGCATGGCCCGTATATGTCGTGTCGTATCGGCCCGTTTGGCCAACTCTGATATCAGGGAGGAGCCATGAGGCTTTGTTTACTGGTGGTCCTATGGGAGTCAATTGCGCGTGGAAGGCACAGGCCGCTGCCCGGGCATGTCAACAGGTTGGGCCCGTAGGTCGTGTGCCAGGGGCTTGCATGCCGCAGCCAGCTTAGTCTGTAGTTTCCTTGTCACACCCGCAGTGCTGGATAGCAACTAACGGAGGAGTATTTTTTGAGCCCTCCAAAGGTTATTTGGGATGGGCTGGGAGCGTGCTCCACGTGTCGTGTTCTGGGCGATTCTTTCGGATTTATTTTTCTAATTTTTTATACATGTTTTTGGCTTGTAAAGGATTTTTTTGGTTCTTTTGGCTTTTCTGTTTCTCTTATTTTTCCTTAGGATTTGGAATTTTTTTTTGAAAAAATGCATGAAAAAACGCGTTTTCTTTCATTCTATGAGACGTACATTTACTTCTCGTGAAGACATGATTATTTTTTCCGTGAGAGGCATGGTTATGCCTCTCGAAAAGGGAAAATGCGTTATTTTTTTCTTCTATGAGAGGCACATTTACTGCTCATGGAGCACGGGTTTGATTCCGCGAGAGGCACGAGCAAGCCTCTCGAAAGAAATGTGTTTTCTTCTTTTTTGTGTTCCGTGAGAAGTATGGATTTACTTCTTGTGGAAGCATGGATTTGCTTCTGCAAGA